AGCAGAACCTATTTCTTTTCTACTCTCCTACATAATTCATTCTCATCTTAATTATCAGGGTGTCTGGGAATAGAGTGTTTTTTGACAGTAGACAATAGCTCACTCCAGGAATACACACCTTTGATGGGCTGTGATCAGGTTGCAATTTGCTTAAAGATAAAGCTTTTGACAATGGAACGGCTAGCTTTTGGAAGGGCATGGATTCATCTGAGCTGCATCTGCTACTCCTTAATCTCGGCAGTGGCAAATGCTGTTTCGGCTGCCAAACTCATGCCCTTGCTGAGCCAGCAGAGGAGGGCCCTCCCCATCTGTCCTCACACTGTGCCCAGATCCTGGCATGAAGGAAACCAACAGGACTGTGCCAGAGGCTTACTCAAGCCAAATCATTTTCATTTTCCCAAATGCAGTCATGATTGTTCTCCGAGGAACTCACCAGAAGCTTCAAACTGCACAGCAGAGCTAGCGTGACTGCCAGGACCAGGTTACCTCCGCTGGAGAGAAGACCGTGTTAGCCATTGGTTTTATCATGTGGCTTTCTTAAGAACCACAATATTAGCTTTGTCAGTTTTTTAAATTGTAGGGAAAGGTTATTGTTGCTAAAAGGAAAGAAAGATAGTAAGTACAATGTTTAAAGTACAAAAAGAGAAGCAAGCATCCTGATAGGCAGTGTCGAGCAGACATTTTGCTGACGGGATGGATTTCAGAAAGGTCTCTCCCTTGGGAGGTGAGGGTGAGGGTAGAATGAGATAAGTAGAAGATTTCGGCTGGGTTACAAAGGCACAAATTTTGATATCTAAATAGGCACTAATACTGGGAGCAATGAGTTTAGAGTAAGTTGACTGTCTCCATCTCCACTACATTCCCACCTCAACTAGCTAATTCTACATAGTTTTGTTTCCTTGCATTACACAAGAGAGCAGCACAGGATCAGGGAGTAATAACCTGCTATTCATGTCCACAAAGAATGAGCTATTCACTGAGAGGGTAACCATTTTCCTAGAATTACTCTGATGTGGGTGAAGGTAAATCCTGAACATTTAATAAAATATCCAGAAGCACTGAGGTGTTAGCTATGATTTTGTAACAGAAGGCCTAATGTTTTATTAAGCGACCTCTAAAATATTTTATTTTTATTTCATTGCTCAGGTTTCCCTGAAACTTAAAGCCTTTCATGAAGGGTATCCACAAAAATAATGAAGCTTTCATTTTCAAATAATAATGCAATACCGCATTACTAGCTTCCTTTAGAAATATAACACAAGTAATTTTTTCAGACTTCACCTTTGATTAACAGCATCTCAAGAAGGATTATATATGAAGAAAAACATGGCCCTTGTATGCAATGAAGGGGAAAATGCCATCTTACACGGTGACCTAAAAGTCTTACGTTAGAGACATTTTCTCTTTGCTGCAGTACTAGAGAATAAAGACCACTCTCACCACCCTGTTAACATTCCCGAAAATGTCAACATCGCTCAGTAGCTGCAAAGAACTCTAGGGAGTTCATCTCATCAGCATAGATCGAAGCCTCCTTAGAAAGAAAAAGAAAAGGAGGCTCAGAGTTGACTAGTGATGGGGGAATAGAGAGGAAACGGTTCCCTCTCCCACGGGGTAGTCTTGTACAGAACGTGACGGAAGGCACTATACTGGGTGTCTGTTACACAAGGAAGTTTGTGCCTCACTTCCCATTGATGTCATTACTCAGGAGAACGGGTTTACCATTGAAATCCCAAATTTCTCAAGTGAAAAATGTATCTGCCAGGTGTAGTTGAGGCCAGGTGCTGTTTATTCAGTATCTAAAGCCCCCCCACAGTTATGTTAAGTCTTGAAGGAAATGACATTGAACTTGTTTCAGATTTTGATGATTTGACTCAGCCAAGCCACAAGAGTAAAACACAAAGATATCAGAGAATATTTGGATGGTATTTTTGTCTCTGAAAAAACAGTTTGACAAGCTAATAAGCAAGGTATGAGTTGTCCAGCTACAGAATAAAAGATCCTGGATAATAAGAACAATTTGAGATTTTTTAAATGATGTGATCAAAGACCCCTAATGAAAAAAAACCTGAGTACATGGATAATGCATACATATAGCATATGGCAGATAGACTTGCACTGAAAGCAGTGTTCTTGCTTTTGTTGGTTATGAACCATATGACATACAGAGGCAAGAGGGAATCAAGTGGAATTACCATTATCATGGTATTATTGTTATCAGATAATAATAGATGGTCCCATATATTTTTAAATAAAAATGTGGATTTCATTATTAAGTAATAAGGAGGTAAATTAAAAATAAGATAGATCCAAGGGAATATCTATACTTCCATTTATCCAGGAATAGCCCATGAATTACTAAACTTACCTTATGGCATTTTAGTCTTCAAACCTTTTCTGACACTATCAGTCTGCATAACTACCACAGGCATCAAACAAAATATTCAACTTTTAATTTAAAGTTTTCTAAATATTTATATTTCTTCCCTGCCATTTTAGAACACAGACCTTTTAAGATGCATAGACTTTCAACATATAGGGGTTCAAGGATATAAATTGCTGGGTCCCCCTTCCTTTTCCCAAAACAATTCTATAAAAAGGCAAAAGCCAAACAAACAAGAAAACTATTTTGGGCCTCTAACATTTTGATTCATTTTGACTTTGATAAAGTGACTTCTGTATGCTTCTGTATGCTTGGAATCAAAGATAAATAAGCACCCTTGGGTCGGGTGGGTAAGACATGTCTCCAATTAAAAGGCGGCTCAGAAAGCCATACCCAGGCTGACGAGACTGAGCTCAGAAGGAAGCACTCACTACCCTGGGCTTTGAAACATAAGTTAGAGTTCCTCAGTGAAGAGAAAGGGGGAAGAAGCTGCAGCCTAGAAGGCAGGGCATGCTTCTCATCTGGGTAGATTATTTTGTTTTATTTTGTTTGGGGAATCAAGGGATGTTGATGGAGGGGAAAAGAAACAAGTGATTTCAAACTCCAGCTAGGATTCTTTCATGGACAAGATCAAGTGTCCTGCCTTTGGTAAATCTTCCTCAACTCCCCTGCCTCCATGCAGTAGTAATTACTTCTTCCTGTGCAAATCCATAACCCTTTGAGCTTTACACTCGTCATGCTGTGCCATGATTGAATGGTCTCCGAAGAGGTTATAATACAGATCTGGTTGCAGTAAAAGAGATCCAACAAAAATTAGTTTTTCTGAAGTTCAATTTCTCCTTCTCTTTTCCCCTTCCTGATAACCATCCAGCAAAATTCAGAGATGGGAAGGAAGGCTGTTCCTATGGCAGGGCTAGGGCTATTTATATGTTCTGTCTCTCCCATTCCAAGAGAATTGCCCTGGTTATTGGGAGAGGACAGCATGATGGCAGTTATTTAGGGGCTTCCCAAGAAGCCACATAAACCACTTCTGCTAAGACTTCATTGGCCAAAACTCAGTTGTGTGATCACACCTAGTTGTGTACCAACGGAATAGGCAGAGTTCTTACAATAGAATGAGTGTTGACTTTTTCTTTTCTTTCTTTTTTTTTGCAGGGGGCCAAATAAGAAATATTTTAGACCATCTACAGTCCTGTCATGTCATTGTCACCATTGTCTTTGTCTTTTGCTCCTTCTTCTTATTTTGTTCCTTTAGTTTATAGCTTTATAAAAGTATAAAAAAAACTTATTTTGAAAGCTATATGAAACAGGACACATATCAGATTTGGCATAATTGGTGTCTTAGTCATTTTTTTTTTTTTTGTCACTAGGACAAAATACCCAACACCCACAACATAAAGGAGAAAAAGGTTATTTTCACCCATATTCTCAGCCCGTGGTTGTCTGACTCCAAGGCAGAAAGGTATAATGGGAGGGGCCAGGCAGAGCAAAGGTGCTCAAATGATGGTGGTCTGGAAGCAGAGAGAAGGGAGAAGCCAAGGAAGGGGATGTACCCTTCCGGGTCACGCTCCCAGGGACACACCTTCTCCCACCAGACGCCACCTCCAACAGCAAGTCAGCTAGCCGGCCCCCACGATTCATCACCCCACCTATGAATGAGTGCGCATGGCCTTCAGGGGGCTTTCTCCAGTCCAACCATATCAGTTGACAAATCCTTGCTTTGCATGAAGGGAAAACTCATACCAGGAGGGCAGTGGGACTTTATAACTTTTACAAGATGATAAGCCACGAAAAGAAAACATTGTCTTGTTCACCTTTCTAGTTTTAGTGCGGTGTTTGACCCACACAGCAGGCGGTTGATGTTTATGATGAATAAATGCTTGCATGTACACATGCATGAATAAGAAGGAAGAAGAAGAGGGAAACTTGGTAAACTCAGTTTAGTAAAATTCCAGTTAGTCCCTGGGGTAGTCTCTTAGCCTGGATTATCCTCTATCCTCCATCTTCCTAGAGTTTGAAGAAAGATCTAATGGGGATCACCCTCAGTGAGTCCCTGCTATGCATGCATGCCCCTCTTCTGTTGATACAGTCAAGTGCCTGCTGCACCTCCAGTCCAAAGCTACACTTAGGGTCCAACTATGCTGCACAGGGGAGAGTGCTCTGGTCACGCAGAACACCTCTCCTTGACCTCTGCTGAGGGTGCAGCAGATCCTGGGACCACAAGCTTTACGGGCTCCTCATCTGGAGCACTATGGTGGCTGGCAGAAGAACTTTGTTTTGCCCCTTTTGTTTTTTTGTTTTTTGTTTTTTGTTTTTTGGAGATGGTCTCACTGTGTAGCCCAGGCTGGTCTCGAACTCGCAGTGATCCTCCTGCCTCAGCCTCCCAAGTGCTTCGATTACAGGCGTGCACTAGGCCTGTTTTGCCCTTTTGAAAGTCACATGCTTGATGGGAATGTCAGCAGAAGCATGCAGGCTGAATGGACACATTTTAGTTCCCTTCTTTCTCTTCCTTCTTACTCAATATCCGGAGGCCATAACAGAACTCTTCTTGTTTAAGTCATTCTGGTGGGGGAGGGAGGAGTGGCTCACTCAACCAATGCCTAGGGCAAAGCCCTGCCAAGCATCAGAAAGTACCATCGTTTTTGGTGTCTGCACTCAGGGCAGATGCTGCAGCCATAAATGCCAGGGAGCCAGGCTCTGGGCCCAAGAACACCTCTAAACGAGACCGACCTCCCATCTTCTTCTGCAGGAGTCAGGTAACCATGATGCCAATGTTTCCTCTTTCGAATAATTTTTACAGCGGGAAAAGATGCCACCCCCAACATCTGGCAGTATAGACTGCAGAATGAATAACCAAAGGAAAGGCATTTTCTGTTGTCAAATAGCTAAACAAATGGACCTCAGACCCTAAACCTCAGATTCATTGTAGACAGAAGGATGACAACCAGACTAAAATGTGCTCAAGATGTGTCTGACACTTGCTCTTTCATAACTGAATGGGTCTCTCCTGCATTGTAACCTTCTGCACCACTGGTATTAAATGATGTCTTGCACCAAAGCCAGAGATGAGGGCCATTTGCCCTCAGGGCTGGGCACAGATGATTTATTTCATCCTGTCTCTTAACAAGTGTGTGTTTATCCTTTTGATGAGGAAGAACTACTTTCAATTTCCCCAAAACCTTAAGATCTGGCAAGGGGTGGCAATTTGTGTGAGATTTCTACAGAGACAAAGAAAAAGGGCCACACTGCAGCTAATGGGGCCTTGTCAGAGGAGATCCTGGAAAACTGGAGGAAGGACAAATGACTGGAAACCAGCAGGGAAGTCTTTCTTTCAGAAAGACCAATAACTCCAGGCTTTGCTTGGGGCCTTGGGCTCTCTTGTTTGCTTTGCTGCTTCTTCCAAAATTTTATAAGACGTGTTTTTCACTTTTAACTAGATGTGTGGTGAAATAATGTATAGTATAAAAGAATGAGCTTCAACCTCTGTCTCCTATGCACCGTGTAACTACAAGTGAGCCATACGACCTCTCTGGCTCAGCTCTCTCATTTCTAAAATGGGGTAATAATAGTGTGGGCTTCATAGGGCTGTCGTAAGGGTAAAATTCTGTAGCTATTGTGTACGAAAAGGTGACCCTGTGTTATTAATATTTGTTTTTTGAACTATTTGGGCATCAGAAACAGAATGTTTTGTGTAGAAAAATAGTTGAGTTCACCACCCCAGGGTCAAAGCCACGGCAACGCTTTTCTGTTGCTTCTTGAAACTGCCAGGGAGGTTTAATGTAAACCAGAACAAGTGTACAACCAAGCCGAGATGCAAACTCGAAGATGTCGAAGGCCCCATGAAATTAGTGACAAATGAAAGGTGAAAGGGAGAAGGATGAGGTTCTTTGTGAAGAAACCACATCTTTTAAAATGTGCCACTAAAGGACACCTTGAATATCCAAACAACTGTGGTGTGTTCTAGGGATATCCAGCAAAAGTTGGTCTTCCGTTTCAAAGAGGAAAGGATGAAAAGGATTCTACTTCCCTGGGGAAATCACCTGCGTATCATTTCTGTCCATGTATCTACCAGTGGGCTACAAATTCTCCCCAGCTTCCACTGCAGTACAGAGATCTGGTCCCAGGACCCAGTCTGAAAAGTGACTGCTGCCTAGCAGAGCAGCCACGCTGACATCTAGTGGTCCTAGCACTAATCGCAGGCGCTGTCTTGGAAGCTTTTATCAGCTTCCAGGTGCTTAAAATCCCAACTGCTAACCCTTACATCCAATGTTAAAAGGAGAGGGCAGTCAGGGAATGTGGAAATGATGTAGCCTCGGGGTGAGGTGTTCGTGGAGGCACCTTCTGAGGGACGTTTGTGAGAACAAGAATATGGAGAGGTTGAACCTTGGCTCCCTGGCAAGTTTCTGCTATGGCTGCTAGGTTTGTGGCTAGGGCTGGCCTCAGAACCAAGATCTGAATATGAATAATGGCTCTGCCATGCAGCAGCTATGGCCCATGAGTAAACAAGTCCACTGTTCCATGGCTCAGTTTCCAAGTCTGTAAAACAGAGCTTCCAGTCATTTTTCTGTGGTCTTGTTAAGAGACAATGCCTAAAAGCTCCCAGAACAGTCTCCGGCCCAGAAAGCAAGCCACAAATTCATCTGTTCTTTCTTCCCCCAGATTTAGATACAATTTTATGTTTCAGCTCCAAAATAAAAGTTATTTTAGGTGAAACCATGAAATTAATGGTGATATTAATATGTAGCCCTAATTTTCTGAAGCACCTCTGAGAAACAACATCTACAGTAGATGGAGTATTTATGGGAAATCTGCCATCATGTAGGGGTGTGTATGTGTGTGTGGTGTGTGAGAGAGAGAGAGAAAGAGACCCCCAAGATTATTTGAACTAGGAAACAGAGCTCACATCTCATGTCTTCACTGCAGAACTAGAATGCCTATGTGTGAGATTTGCGTATACAAATGCTTTTCAAAGGACTGAGTTTGGGAAAGGGGCAAGTGTGTTCCTTTTGTTTTGTTTTTATTTTGCTTGTGGTACTGGGGATTGAACTCAGGGCCTTTGAACTGAGATATATCCCCAGCCCTTTTTCTTAGTTTTTAATTTCAAGATTTTAAGTTGCTAAATTGCCCGGGATGAGCTCATTTATGATCCTCCCGCCTCATCTTCACACAGATTACAGACATATGCTATTACATCTGGCTGGAACAGTCATGCTGTTTCAAATCCTAAAGTTTTTTCCTCAGGATTGAAGCCAGAATCATAAAGACATCCATTGGAGAACGAAGGGAAGCTTCTCCCTGTTTATCTCGGTCGGTCAGGAAGCCCACTATTCTTGAGATAAGACCTGCTCCGATAAGAACGAAGTGACAGATTTTTTTTTTTTTTTTGAAAGACGACTGCTTGTTGGTCAACTAGGCTTTATGTTTCCCAATGTGATGCTTTGTGGGAGGGCACCAAGATGTTTCAGTAATGGTTCATCGTGAACCTTGGATTCTCCGTCCTCAGGGAATACCTTTGCCTCCTATTTAATTTCCCCTTTCTTCCTTTTTCAGGCTTCTCTGCACTTTGTCTTTCTTCATTCAACTTTGTTCTTCACTTTAGCTGCTGCATCAGTCTCTGATTTTTATATTGAAAGTGAAATCCTTCCAAATGTAGCAGGATTCTATTCCTTTTGATGTCCTAACTTCCTCGCTTTCTTCCTGATAGGCAACATCTTGGTATCTTCAAAGACTGTGTTTCCAGTGTTGCCTATTTTATATATATTACACTCTTCCATCCCACTTCAATTGAACAAAAAGACCTCTGATTAGAGAAAAAAGTCTTGTACTTCTGGCCCCCACAAAACATTTTAGTGTAGAAGATGGTACATGCACTGTCATCCTTTGGGAGACAATGAACATTGCATCTCCTCTTAATTCTATTCAGGGCACTGTGGGGATAGATCATCTATACCCACTGGGGAATGTGAGAATTGATGTGCATCACAGTCTACACATGGGGCACGACCCTACCCTAGTCTTGTACTCCAGACACCCTAAAGAATTTAGGACAGTCCAGATATGAACACTGAATTGAATCTTTCCAAAGCACTCAGCCCATAAAGGCTACAATGAGTGAATGATGAGAAACCAACTAAACCATGAATGCTACGCTGTTCTGGGAAACTCAGAGAGCTGAGCTGAATGGTTTCACAGCCAGAACCATTCTATCCCCACACTCTTCAGGTCACTATGGCTCACAAACAGCTCTGGAGATGCAAAAGAAGTCTGCATACATTTCTAAAAAAGATCTTCCAAGAATGCACATTGGAAGAACTACCTTAGTCAGATCCATTCTGAGCCAAACCTGTGACAAGGTGAATAGTAACACCAAGAAACACATAATACTCTATGCTCCCCCTTGATCCTGCCATTGTCTCTGTTGTCCCACAAATTGAAGAGGCCAGCATCTCTGGCTCTGTTGGTCATGAAAGAGTTCAGTGACTCTGCAGTGTCTGGGCACTTGAGGCAATTTCCCAAGCTGCTATATGTTAAGGCTGAGACAGATCCAGAACTTATTAAGTACTTTGAATTCATCAACACTGTAGAACCATCTTCCCTGCTACCATATGATAAATAACTCTGGGACCACATTTGGAGACAGTCACATGGCTTGGGAACATGACTGTTACTACCTGGTAGTGCCCACTGCCTGTATTATTTGATGTTTGAGCTTGATGCCCCAAGGATGCTAATGCAGGTCCAAAGGGTAGGGAAGATGCACACTGTTCTGATTTATATAACTCAGCAGGAGTTGGGGGTAAGACAGTCTGGGAAGGCGTCATGGCGATTGCAGGTTCTAAGGGACAAGGTTGATAAATTGCATCTCTAAGATTAACAGTATTCATGATTCCATCCGCGTGCTTCTCCAGATTATTCTGGTCTTTTGCAATCTGCAGCAGTGAAGTATTTAATTGATTCTACCAGGCTATTTGTTGTCACTTTAAGAGTTTCAATTTTATTTCTCTGATCACCATCTTTACAGTTTTAAAGCTTGCCATCAAAAAAGTTTTAATTGTCTATCATCATTTTAAGTAATTATGAACCTTTGTATTGTTTTATCAAAGTCTTGGACACTAGGAGCAAATCCTGAATCTAAATCCTCAGAGTACGTGGGTGGGGTGTGTGTAAGAATTTGACATTTGCTGCTCTGATCTGGTCCCTGGCAGTCAGCAGGCACATCAGAACTCAGGAGTGAGGATTGGTCCCTCTTCTACATCCTCAGGGTCTACTCACTCTACAAGGAGCCAGAAAGAAAGCTGTGCTTCCTGGGGAAGGAGTAGGGGCTGTGCCTGGTACTTCTTTTGCTCCCCTTGGTCAGCTCTTCAGCTGTGTTGCACTTGCCCAATCAGAGGTTTAGTTTGCCCTTGGGACACAGTGTCACCCTTGCCCCTGCCCCAATCTCACCCCAACTAACAGATTCATTCTTGTTGCAGCTTCTTTTTGGGAGCAAATTGCTATAGAAACTGGTAACTATGTCACAGATGAAGCAACTTGGGTTGCTTCTATCCTTCGGCTATTAAGAATAATGCTACTGTAAACAACAGTCTACAAATATCTGTTTGAGCCCCTAGTATTATTTCTTTTGGGTATGTAGCCAGAAGCGGAATTGCGGGATCATATGGTAATTCTTTTTTTTTTCTTCTTTGAGGGACCAATTTAATGATTGCTTACTATGACTTTATAGGTGACATGTGTTTTATTTTTTTCTCATTGAGTT